CTGCCAGCTAATAGCCCTCTTCTTCTCTGCCTGCTCACTGAAGTAAGTGGCATCGCTTAACTGGGCTGGAGTGGAGGATGATGGGTGGTGTATCTTTTTCTGTAATGAGTCTTCAGAGAGAAATTGCTTCCAGATGGAGAGAGTATGTGGGAAACGTCTCGGCATCAGAGACCAAGGGAAAAAGCGTGGAACAAAAGTGCCAGGTTGCTCCCACGCTTGGGCTCTGGGGCTGTGGGGGGGAGTCACTTGGGGTGCCCACGTGGGTCCTTGACAGGAGCAGTCCCCAGTGGGACAGCATGGGCAAAGTGCTGGGACTCAGCACTCTGCTGGGCTTGATGTCTCCTGCATGCACCAGGTGGGCTTTCCGGATGGCTACATTTGTCTGGGGCCATTACTGCTTCTGGCAAGCTGTTGCTATACTGACAGTTGGCCGTCAGAGAAAAGTCAGTAAGTTTTCTTAATATGATTTTGAAACATTTTCTCCTGCTTAAGTGGTAAGCATGAAATGACTTAATATCCTGCCCCTGCTGTGTAATGCTTTCATGGAAGCATTCCATCACTGAAACTGAGAGAAAAGAAGACTTCTCTGTCACTTGCAAGGCTCTGGAGGATCAACGGTGAGAGCGGAGGAAAGAAGCTCGTCTGCAGTCACTGCTGGATTTCTGTTTCAGTGATGTGTGTATTGTGTGAGTGACTTCAACTGGACAGTTGCCCTTTACTGTAAAAAAAGACCACAGACCATGTAAGCACCTGGCTGCACGAACCAGCTCTGTGGCTTTGATGCCTTCAGCAGGTACTTGAAGTTGTTCCCAATCTGTCACATTGGGTGCCTGTAATCTCAAGTGACACGTTTGTCCCAGAGTCATTTTCAAGTTGGCCGTACAGACCACCACAGAGGGGCTTGTACAAGTGAGTAGGAAGGAAGGGAGGTAATCTGAGGGAGAAGTGCTGCTGTTTGGAGCTGTACCTCACTGTTCAGCGATTGACTTGTCTTCTGAATTCAGCGTGGGCGTTGCTCAGATGGTGCCCACAGCAGTCCCAGTCTCCCTGACGGGTGGCTTGGGGAGAGCCAGGATGGTTCCTCCTCCCATGGATCGCGGGGAGCGTAGGGAGAGGCAGTTGCAAGCTGCTGGGAGCATAATTTGCTATTAGGCTACGTGGCATCCTGTCTGCCATCAATTACAGCCTGGGCTCGGAATAAAAAGGAATGAAAGGGACTTAACATCCCAGCCATTGCCTGCTGGTGAGGAGGGGCTGTGGATGCATTTTGAAAGGAAAGAAAGTGAAGAACATACGCTGAAAGGTTGCAGATGGAAAAAGAAGGAAGCTACATTTAAAAAACTCACACTCAGGAACCTGCTTGTTACCTGCAAAGTCACACGCTATCAAAATATGAATTAAACAGCTTTTTCTAGATTTTTGTCAGCTGAAAACAGAAAAGAGTACTTAGGTGGAGAGGAGAAGAGCTGGTGCATAAGCAAGCAGAGTTGTTCTTGCTGTACAGCTGATGTGGAAATGGTAAGCCTGTCTCCAGGAGCTGGAGTAGAGGGCTGTTCCTCACAGCCTCCAATCCCGAGTGCAGGACTGTGGTTCTGAGCTCCCCTCCTCTGCTTGAAAGCCGTAACCAGCTCTCCTCTCTCCCTGCTCCCACCTTCTGCCGCAGAGCTGCTCCCACGGGAAGGGAGGGATCCTCCTTGCCTGACTCCTACAGCCTTTGCTGGTTTTGCCTTTCCTGGCTGCCGCTTCCACATGCTGAGTGCATGCTGGAAGTAATACAGCTAAATTGCTTCCTCCAGCTACTCGCTCTCAATTGACTCTTCTCCACGGGGAGCTTTAGATGGTGCCCATGGGGCAGCGCAGAGCCTGAAATCCCCGTTAACCCTGGTAGTTCAAAACCCATCAAGGCAAACAGAGCTCTGATCTCTGCTTTAGGAAATGATGCACAGTTGTAACAAGTCATTACCCTAAAAAGAAGAAATGAGCCTTCGTACTGTACGCGTTAACCTTTGCTAACTAAAACACTTTCTTATTCATCTGTTTTATATGCTTGGTTGTGCATGAGGAAAGGCCTTTTTTTTCCTCCAAGTGTAGCTGCTACAGTGCTGCAGTGCTTTTGCCAAGGGAGCTAAACACTGAGAAAACATTTTGAAAAAACTGCATCTTTTACTGATAACCTTAGTTAGTTTGTGGAAGATAAGAGGAACCAGCCTTAGCCTTGAAACCGGTGGGCTATTGACTGCCATCCTTTACCTTCAGGCACTGTAGATCTCTGCCCTCCAGGATTTACTCTCAGCCACAGGCTCCAGCTGTGCTCCCAGGTGAATGCGAGCTCTGAATTGATAGATTTGTCCATTAATCCGTTCAGTGGCACTTTGAATCCAGGCGTCTGGAAGGTGGTAGTGCATTTCTTATCAGTAGTGCTCTGCTTCTCACGGAGGGCAAATATCTCCTGAGCGGTGTAATCACCACAAAACTCACCGTTTGGTGTTAGCAGGACGCTTGTTATTCACTCAGATACTCTGACACAAAGCTGGTTTGCTGTTTATTTTCCCCTATCCATGGCATAAAATGGAGACTCTGGGCTGAGACGGACGCCTCGCCTGGAAGGCAGTCACAGAAGTTGGTGGGTAGAGACCTTCCTCCCTTGCAGGTCTCTGAGCAGTGCTGGGCACTGAAGGCAACACCAAACCTCTGGTTTGTGTGTGCAGCACATCCCCGTGAGCTCTGTGTTCCTTCCCTGGTCACTTCAGTGTGTGTTTAAGCAGTTACTGTGGTATCTCATTTTATGCTACCGAAACACTGGTTAGCAGCCACTTTTTGGATCAGTTTTGCAAAGGCAGCGCAGAGCGTGCAGAGAGCCCGCTGAGCAGCAGGAGCAGCAGTCAGTGTCACCAGAGGAAAGCAAACAAACCTGGATGATGACTTGGAAACATTACCATGGGAAAAAGATGTCCTACTGTTGCCATAAAGCAAGATCATGGGAAAACAAAAGCAAACACTTAGAAACATTTCTCCCCCTACCCCCGCAAAAAAAGAAAAAAAGAAAAAAAAGAAGAAAAAGAAGAAAAAAAAAAGACATTGCATAATTTATCTCCTTTCAAAGTAACAGAAGTCTCCTGAAGATAAAAGCCTGTGGTTTCTGAAGTGCAGCAGCTCGGTCCTATGGCAACTGCACCCAGGTGGAATCAACTACCTACAAAAATTGCATTGCAGGTAGAGCTGCGAGTTGGTGCCTGAAAAATAAGTAACCTATTTAAATGTATAAAGGAAAACAAGTGAGCTCAACCATGAAGTCGTTCTCAGCTGAAATGACATGAGCAGCATCATTTACATTCAGCCTCCCCTTGAACCCAAAGGAGCTCTGTGTTAAACTGTTTCCCTGACCCACGGATGGACAGACTGAGGGGCTCTGGTGGACAGACTGACAGGCTCTTTGTTGCAGAGTCAAGTTAGGCAATACCAGAGGTAAGGTTGTCCGTGCAGCCTTCCTCTGTGCTCCCTGTGCGGACATGCCACAATACGGGCTTTAATTCCGTAATCCCTCAGTCATTTTCCACTGGCCCCCTGCCTCCCTCAGTGTGGAGGAGGCACAATGCCGCCCTAATGAGCAGATGAGCAGCGGCTTGGCTTGTCATTATTCAGTCTGTGACCGTGGACCTCATTCAAGTCCCACTCTCCCAGTCCTGCTCTGAAAATGCCGTGTTTTGTTTTCTGCTGTTTTACAGCTTGTCCCACAAAACTGTCACAGCCCTTTGCGGGCACAGCCCTTCCACCGTACAGAGGGTGTTCAATGCTTAATACCCTGGCTTTAGAGATGGACACGAGGAACAGCAAGTGTTTGACACCTAGCGATTCTTGCCATCCCATGGCCATCCGCAGCGGTGGAGCACAACCCCTGAGGAGGGCTGATGTGGCTGTGGCACCTCAGCAGATCAGACCCTGGTGCCTCCAGTCAGCCAGCCAGAGAACAAGGGAAGGTAGATGTGGCTGCCCCTTGCCGTGGCCAGGTGTGTGGGGTTTTTTTTTTAACTATTCCTGACTCTAAAGTGCTCTAGTTCTTCATTTCAAATGCATCTTGAGCGTGAGCAGATGGGCAGAAGCAGCAGCTCAGGTGGAACCGACCTAGGGAAACCCCGCTGTCACAGGGGCAGTTTCCCCTGTTTGGCTCTGGGAATGCAGGGCCTTGAGCTCTGCAGCAGTCATCGTTTTCTACCAGGTCTGAAATTGTGACAAAATGCTCTGTTTTTATTAAAGCATACAACTCCCCTTCCCCATCTAATCTCCAAGTAAAGTCAACCCACAGTTGTGTTGGGCTGTGAGAAGTTGGATTGCTGAATATCTTGCTGTCTAAAACTGAAACAGGGCACTTTTCTATTAGATGTATCTTTCCCTTCAGACAGCTTCACGGCTTCTTTGCTGCTCTCCCTTTTTCTTTGGAGGATCTGACCTTAAAACCCTGCAGGCTTTCTGCGTAATTTTATTTTATTTGGTCCTCCTCGCTCATTTCACTTTTACCTTCTCTTGCACTTGTGTGGTGCCTGCAGCATCTGGCACATGAGGACCCCACTGTACTGTGGTGCAAGTAATCACTGTCACAGGATTTTGTGATGGAGAAGTAAGGAACAGTAATAACCTTAGTGTCTTTGTTTAGTTTGGTGGGTTTCCTTTTTCCATGGCTGTGATGCCACTACAAGGTTTGTGAAGGAACAGTAACATGCTTTGGTTGTAGGATGAGCTGCATCAGACATCTCGGGGTACAAAGCTTTTCAGACCCAGAGGTCTCCAGGAGGAGAAGGGCTGTGAACAGGGAAGTGTGAAAGTTCACACACTGTCCATGGTAGCCCTATGATGCTCTGAGATTTTTTTAATTTTTTTTTTGGTACAAAAGGAATTGCACATAGTAACAATTATGTATAAAATGGCCAAGCCTGGCCTCAGATGTTGCTCACGATAACTGCAAAGCCTCTCATTTTCACATAGTAATGGTGTTTTTGTTGCAGATTGATGTCCTCAAGGCAGATGTGGAGAGTGCCGAGTGGAAAATTTTGGAAAACCTGATCCTGGAAGATGTTGTTGAGCAGATAGGACAGCTGGTCGTTGAGGTGCACATCCACTGGCCTGGGTTTGAGGTCAGCGGCAACGACAGCACCGTGGTGCGGTACTGGTACAGCCTGCTCCGAGAACTGGAGCTGAAGGACTTCAGGCTTTTCCATACCTACAAAGACTTATCAAAACCACAGATGTTTCTGAAGAAGGAAGCCTTCAACGCCAGTAGCTGTTACACACTGAGCTGGGTAAATACAAGATGGAAATAGCAGAAAGGAATTTATGATGTGTGACTGCGAGCCATCTGGCCCCGTAGCATTATTGAAGAGGACTTTGGCATCGCTGGCTAAAGTTGCTAAATATGCACACAGCGACTGCTAACAAAACGGACTGCCTTTTATTTTTATACATTGTCAAAAGAGCTGGCACTAGGAGAAGATACATGGTGCAGATTTGTATAGGGATGGATTTGCCAGGGGTTCAGCGCCTCAGAGGACAGATGTGTCTGGAGTGGGTAACAGCCTGGCTTTGCCCGGCTGCCCCATGGCAGAGCCTGCTGGCAGAGAGGGCATGGCTGGGGCTGCCCTGGGAAGCTCTGCTCGCTGAGCTGTGCAGGAGAGTGGTGGTGAGAAGGTGCCTTTCTCAGGAAGGGTCAGGTGTTACTTCTCTTGGTAAAGCTATCTTTGACTTGTGCCTTCTTTACTTTGGCCTTGTTTCCCATGGAACAAATTTTAGGCAAGAAGAGTGTGTTCTTCAGCCCACTGGCAAATTTCAGCTGAATTTGGCAGAGGGAGAAATCGCCACCAGACTAAATTCCTACCTATTTCGTGGAGCAGCGTCTGAGTGCTCTGCTGTTGGCTCCTTAAGGCAGTCTAGCTGCGGGAGGCGAGTTCAGCGCTTCTGACACAGGAGTTGATGGGACAGAGAGACTCAGCTGCTGGAAAATCTGCCACAGGTGCTCCCCCTCCTTATCCTCCTGAAGCTTCAGCCACGCAAGACGTGGCTTCCCTAGTTATTCTGCTCAAAGAACGGCTTGTTTTAAGTTACTCTTGCAGTGGCTGTAGCAAATGGTTTTTCATCTAGCGAGATGCTTATTTAAAAGAGATGAAAGTGAAAACTGGTCTTTTTTTCCCTTTGTTTTGGGGTTTAGTTGAATGTTTTGCTGCGTGCCTTCTCCAGCCTTGGGCCTGTGGTGCAGTGTGCTCCTGGGAGCCAGCCTTGGCCATTCCCTGAAGAGCTAAGGGATGGGGGGAGCTAAAAAAATACACAGCAGGTTGGGTTTTTTGCTTCTCTTTGAAAAAATTTTGATATTAAACTTTGCATTAAAATACAAGATGACACCACTTCCATGTCTGTGATATACAGCCTTTGTAACTTTGATATACTGCCTTTGGTTTCTGGCTTCTGCAAGGCTCAGTGCCCCTCCCTCGGTGTGCCTCAGCCCAGCGTCCTACTTTTAGCAACTCTTTCTCTGTCCCCATGCTGTTCCTGCTCTTGGAATCCTGGCAATCTTGGAGTCCATCCTCTCACCTTTCATACCCTCCTTTCATTTTTCAACCTCTCCACTTCCTCAGCTCCCTCATCCCCTCCTTCCCAGAGCAGGGTTCTGCCTTGGACCCAGCACACCCACAAGGTCTCAGCCAGCAGACAGAAGAGGGGAAAATAAGTGTAGGAGCTCTTCTTTCCAGGCAGGTGAGTCAGCTTTCTCCCAGCGCCACTGCTTCTCCTCACAAGTGGATCAAGCCATTCCCCTCACCTTCCCCAGGCTTCGCCCCAGGCCAGGCATCTGCTTCCCTCCTCTCCCACCTCTCTGAGGGCTTCTGCTGCCCCAGGGCAGGCAGGGACTGCTCTCCCCGGCAGAAAACTGTTTCATCCCTTCAGCTCAGCCTCCTCTCTCCCAGAAGATGCCAGCAGGCAGGTGACCCTGCTGGGGTGACAGCCTTCCTCCCACTGCCCTTGCTCTGGTGACCCAAGCGTGGGGCTCGAAGCTGCTGCGGTGAATCTGACTTTGAGCATCCATGTTGGCCACAGACCTCAGGCTGCTTTGGAAGATGCAGAAAAAAACACCCCTCCCCGCTTCGGTGGTGAGGGGCTAGCGGAGATGGAGGGGATTTTAATCTCTTCAGTGAAAGCCAGCTCCATGCCCTCCTGCTTTCAGGTTCGTATCAGTCTTCCAAATCGCATTTGAAATATTAACTTGTGACTAAATGTCAACCCCCTTCTTTTATAACAAACGCACGCTGGTTTTCAATCTACTGCCTTTCAGTCACGCTGACAGTGCCTTGTGTTGTACGGAGTCTCTGATTTACTGCCTCCCTGTTTTTATTTTCCATTTAAAACCAAATCAATCTACTTCTTTATTCACACTGGGATTTTCTGAAGTGGAGTTTAATTCTAAAGAGGCTTAACATGGGCTTCTTCACATCAAATACCTCATTTAGGGAAGAAGGAGGACGGTGCAGCCCAGCTGGGACTGCTGACCAGGTGATGATCCCAGCTGTGCCAGTGCTAATAAATTAAGCAGTGGCAGGCAGCATGCACAGGAATGCCTAATTAATGAGATCCCTGGCACAATTTTGGCTCAGGCCATCTATGCCTCTCTCAGATGATCCCTAGGCATAGCCATGAGGTTAGCCCGAGCTCAAGGACAACTTGGATGCAGCCACCTTGTTTGGGAAGCTGGAAGAGTTCAGCAAATGGATACGGCCAGACCATCTTTGCCCGTTTGCCTCACAGGTAAGGAATATCTCCTGCTACTGTTTTGTTTTCTGGTATAATTCAACAAAAGCAAGTTTGGATTCTCCACCTGGGATGGGGTAATCCTTGTTGTACGTACAAACTGAGGGACAAGAGGCTGCAGACTAGTCCCACAGAAAGAGATCTGGAGACTGGGTTGATGGCAAGTTGGATGTGAGTCAAGAGTGTGCCCTGGCAGTCAGATGGGCCAACTGTGTCCTGTGGTGCATCCAGCACAGCATTGCTAGCCGGTCAAGGGAGGTGATGGTCCCACTGCACTGGTGTGGCAAGTACTGTGTGCAGTTTTGGGTGCCTCAATATAAGAAGGACATTAAAATTACTGGAGTGTGCCCAGAGGAGGGTGACCAAGATGGTGAAGGGCCTTGAGGGCAAGGCTTACAAGGAGCAGCTGAGGTCACTTGGTTTGTACGGCTTGGAGAAGAGAAGGCTGAGGGAGACTGCCTCATGGGGGGCAGCAGAGAGGGCGGTGCTGATCCCCTCTCTCTGGTGATCAGCATTAGGACATGAGGAAATGGAATGAAGCTGTGTCAAGGAAAGTTCAGATCGGACATTAGGAAAAGCTCCTTCACTGAAAGGGTGGTGGATCACTGGAACAGGCTTCCCAGGGAACTGGTCATGGCACCAAGCCTGTCTGAGTTCAAGGAGTGTCTGGATGACACTCTTAGTTGTATGGTTTAGTGTTAGGTCATCCTGCAAGGAGCAGGGAGTTAGACTTGATGATCCTTATGTGTCCCTTCCAACTCAAGATACTCTTTGATTCTATAAATGTAGCTTCTGTTTCTGCTCCTGCACATCCCACCTAGAGCAGAGTGTGAGGGGCTTTGCAGTCACTCAGAACAGAGCACTCATCTCCTCAGCTATACAGTGCTTGTAATCAAGATGACTTATTGCAGATGTGTTGGATTCCCTGTGTCCAAGACATGGGGCAAAATGTTCTCCATGGGGCCAAGCTACATACTGCCATCCCTGAGCCAGGTAATACACAACCCAAGGGAACAGCAGCCTCTGAAAATAGGTAGGAAATGCCTTCTCTGTGACAGCAATGCTTGCTGCAATCCTCCTACATTGAGTGCTGAGGTGGTTTAACAGCACAGGGCCATGAGGAGATTCATTAAAATGCGAGAGGGCTTCCCAAAACGATATCTAGCTTGTTGGAACGATCATGTTTACTGCACTGCAGAATGGCTCAACTCCCATTTGTCAAATAATGGGGTTGCAAAAGCCCAGCTGCGAGTCCTGATTTATTAATAATGCATAAAAATACAGGCTCTAGCACTGCACAGGTTTTTCCTCCTGATTAGTCTTAGAGTAACTAGCCTAGTAGCTTATTATAATTTGTTTAAGAAACCAGTAGATAGAGGTTAAAAAACAAATTACATGATTTCTCTCAGGTGTTAAAATTCCAAAGGGATGCACATCTTCCATCATTTATTGCCCTGAAGCAAAAATGGTCATGTATATGTAAATTATAGAAATGGAGTGGAAGTCCATCCTGTTTTTTCTTTGCTTAAGACGCAGATTTTAGTAAACTTTCAGCTAATCTGTTGCTCAGGATTGCCAGGTAGTGTCAGGAACAATTCAGGCTGTAGCAAATACATCTTCTGCAAGAAAAGATTCCAATAACTATGGTAATTTTAAAGGAAACCTTATCTCAGATACAGGATAGATAAAAGCCATTTATCATTCTGGAGGCAGTTATGTGATATTATGGGAGAAAATAAACAGCTCTTATTTTATGTGCCTTTCTACTTGGCATCTCTTAAAGTGGAGTTACAGCCTTCCTTGCTGAGGTCTTGCTTTTGTGCCCTTCTCCCTTCTCTTTTATTGATCTCTTTTTGCCTAAAGGAGAGACTCTTAAATTAGTTCAGTTCCCATTTCCTAATGACTGGGCTGCCGGGTAGGCACACAAGCTGACTGTGTCTGACTGCTGCTTCAGCCAGAGCTGAAGATCCACCAGCCAACCTCCCCCAGAGTGCTGGCTGTCAGCCACTCTGGGGACATCCACACAGGTTTGGCACCTGTGTTTGAGCCTGTCATGCTCCTGTAGGATGACTCCTTGCAAGAAACATTGCCCTGGCCAGGAGCAGCTCTGGAGAAGAGAGGACAGTTAGAGAGGCCATGGAGTACATGAGGATCTTGTTGAGATGATCTCCCTGCAGACTGAGCCCTGTAGGAACTGCATGCCAGCGTTATATTCCACATCCCTTCCCAGACCTTTCTGCACAGAAACTGTGGTGGCTGCCCCCTTCTTCAAGTACAGAGTGCACCATTAAAACCAGTGTGGACCAGGCATTCTTCCATTATAGCCACAGCCTGGAGACTGGTAACTGTGTGGCCATGCCTGGGCAGGAAGAAAGGGCTACCGGCCTGTCGTGGCATTGCTAAAGTATTCCTGAGTGCCTGATCTGGGCAGCATTCAGCATCTCCTGTGGAGAATGCAATAAATCAACCTTCTCTCTCTGGCTCTCGGACCAATTAAATGACTCTTCAGAGACCTGCTGGAGGGCCCTAGCCTTGGTGGCAGCAGAAGGAGAAAATCAAACCCCTACTGCTGGGAGCAGCACAGGAAGGTGGCCAGACCAAACTGGGGCAAGGCAGGAGCACAGGGCCTGAATCAGCCCAACTCGTCAGGTGGCACCTGGCAAGCATCCATCTCTGGACTGACCTGCCAGCAACATGCTCAGCGATGCTCTTGCACTGGAGCTCATTGCAAAAGAGGGGTCTGTCCCCTTTCCTGAGCTGTATGTCCATGCAGTACCATCCACCAACTGCTCCTGGCACCCTGAGCTGCCCTGAATCTGCTCAGTGTTGTCATTATGAGTGTTGCCCAGCTCTGATCTTCCCTGAGGCTTCTGGCCCTCAGTGCCCGAGGTGGCATCTCCCCACATTCCCTGCAGGAATCTGCATCAGCTCTCCAGAGCAGCCAGCCCATTGCCTCCAGCCTGGCACCGGGTAAAGCCCAGCCCAGGAACGTCCTTACTGCCTGCAGCTCAGGTCCGTCATGGTAGCCACAGCCAGTGCCACCCCCAGCTAACAAGGACATAGTGACCATGTCTTATTCCCAAAGTGGAGTTGTTATGGCACTAGTTTGACACCTCCACCAGGCCTAAAGGGAGCCTACAGTAAAGACAGGGAGGGACTCTTCATCAGGGAGTGTAGGGATAGGATGAGAGGTAACAGTTTTTAACTGGAAGAGGGGAGATTTAGATTAGATATCAGGAAGAAATTCTTTGCTGTGAGGGTGGTGAGACCCTGGAACAGGTTGCCCAGAGAAGCTGTGGATGCCTCATCTATGGAAGTGTTCAAGGCCAGGCTGGATGGGGCTTTGAGTAACCTGCTCTAGTGGGAGGTGTTCCTGCCCATGGCAGGGCAGTTGGAACTTGATGATCTTTAAGGTCCCTTCCAACTCTAACCATTCTATGATTCTATGTTTCACCTGGGTCTAAAAAGGATCTTTGCAGACATGACCTGTGTGTAGTGGCAGTGTTATTTGCACAATTCCTTGTGTGGAGGTGAGGGTGTTGCCCTTGCAGAGAGGCCCACAGTGATGTATAAATCACGTTTATGAATCAGAATTTACAGCTGC